GAATAATGTGCATGCACTGCAGGGCACTTCTTCCCGTTTCCCTTTCCCGCAAGGTGGTGTTTCTTCTGCCCCATGTTGTGCGAGGGGTCGTGATGCACATGAGTCCGAAAAGCCACCGAAATGTGTGCCGTGCACTGTGGGTGTTGCCGGTCACCCTCATATGGCTGGTGAAACTTTTGGTGAGGCTCAAGACGTTTTACAAGCAGCACCTTCAAGTGGAGTTTGGAGTGGTGGCGGTGCATCTCGTCAAGTCACTCCTGTTGCTTCGGGTGAGACCATCTCTTTTTCTGCTGGAACTCCTCCCCCGCCGTGTGGTGGGGATGTCTCTCGTGAGTTAACTGAAGCTTGTGCTTCTGTGAAGCAGTCCCTTTCAAGCGGCGCTGCGCATTCACCAACAGAAATTGCTGGTGCCTCTCTCAATGGTGGAGTAAACCCTGCAGCTTCCCAAAATCGTAATTCTGCTTCTGGCGCTATGGTTTCTCAGGCCCAGCACGCCTCCAGTCTGCCTGCCTTTTCGCACCTTACTGGCGACGGTGCCGCTGTTGGCGCTGGTGTCCCGGGTGCGACTCCTGCGGGATCACACACGGTCTCGCAGCTTCCGTTTGCCTGACAGCCGTTGGGTGCGAAGGCAGCGGGCCAAGAGAAGGCGGGCACTGCAGCTGAAAGTGGGGCAAATGCGGACATTGGCTTGTGCAGGCGGTGTGCCGCAGAACAGCGGCCCTGCTGGGAATAATACAACGGGGGGCGCAGCGTCCCGTGTCTCTCAGGAAAAAGGCGGCGTGTCACCGTCAGACGCAAGCACTCCCGCTGTGGCGGTGCAGGACGAAAACCGCACAGGAGTAACGGTTGCAGGCGGTGGGGCAAACAAGGGCCGGGGAGGCAGTGCAGTTGAAGATGCTTCTGCTAATCCCACGGCAGTGAAGACCGCGGCATCCGGTCTCGTAGTCCACAACAATATCAGCAACGGCAGCGGGAGTCCGTTGCGGAAGGGCAGTGTTAAGGATAGCGCTGCCTGTGGGTGCCGACTGCTGCCGCCGCTGCTTCTGTTGGGGTTGTGGGCGTTTGTGTGAGTGTGAGGGGTGCGCGACCTCTCAGTGCGGGGCATCTGCGGCTTCTTCCTCGCGCGCACACACACACTGCTGGGAATAACTTCCTCTCCGTGGAGGACAATTTGCTTGTTTTTGGTTGCTCTTTTTTTTTTTTTGCTTCGTGGGCGATCCGCACAGGCACGTCTTTTTTTGATGCCTCTCAGTTAATTTGTTTCTTGCCGCACGCACTTTCTTTGGGGTGCCGTGTGCGCCTCGCACGGCTGCTGCTCTTGCACCAGTAGACACGTGGAGGCCGCTGGCCTTCTGGGCCCCGCCCGCTGCACGCAGGAGGCGGAGGGCCGGTGGGAGGAGGCCCACATTTTTTTTTTGTTTGCTTCTTTGCTACCCTGCGGGTGTGGCTGCGCTTCTACCGTGTGCTGCCGGGGAGTGAGGGGCCGGAGGTGCGCCCTGCTGCCGGTGAACTGTGCGTCGCCAGTGTATTTTTTTTCTGTCACCACCTTTGTTTTCTCGCTTCACTCTTCTCCCGCCTACACACGCACACGGAAGGAAAGAGACCAAACGCTACTTGCTACTGTGCACTTTGAAAGGCCCTGCAGTCACCACCAGCATCACACACACACACACACACAACATGCCCCGGCAGCTGTTTTATTCCGCGGTGCTGCTCCTCTGCGTGCTGTCGATGTGCGGCAGCGGCAGCGGGGCTGCGGAAGCTAAAGATATTAAGCCAGAGGCTGCAGCGAAGACGCCGTCGACAGTTGAGCTGTTCAAAAGAGGCAACACGCCCAGTGGAGCTGCAGGTTTGTCTGGTCTGACTGCTGGGAGGAAAGTGTATGCATTCACTGGCCACTCCCTTGTGGGTGCGAAGGGGGTGGTGGTTGCCCTCGCCAAGGCACGCTACGGCCCTTCTCTCATGTCAGGCGCTGGCATTTGGGCGACGTGCATCAGCCCCAAAGGGGATGGAAATAGTTGTGGCTGCACATCAGTGCCTGCTGTTGCTACGGGAGATGGATGCCAGTGGACGAAGGTGGTGCCTGACGGCACTAAGGCCGTTAACCCTCTTGGCTACCTCTACGGCCCCAAGGCGGTTGTGAAGGACGATAAAATACTGCTGCTGCTGATGAGCTACAAGGGATTGCAGGGTCGTCGTAATAAACGATCACCAACACCATCATCACCACGAGGACCACCATCATCACAATCACAGCCACCTACAGCTTGGGAGGTTGCGTTGTATGAGGCTACAGTAGCCGACTCCAGCGGAACCAAATCACTAACGTGGACCAAATCCACACAATCCACAGAGTCAACTTCGAAAGATCCCTCACACCTGAAGACCGTCTTCACCGCGGCGATGAAGACACACAAGTGGAGGTCCTTCGTGGATAATGCCGGGAGGGGCGTGGTGGACAAAAGCAAGAAGGTTGTGTTCCCTCTGGTGGCGGTGAGCTCCGAAAGCGGCGCGCATGTCTGCACAGTTCTCTACTCGACCAACGGAGGGAGTGCAGCGAGTCGGGCTTGGAAGTTCCCTTCGAGCGGTGCGGTGGCTGAGGGCTGCGTCGCTGCCACTCTCCTCGAGTGGGGCGGGAAGCTCCTTATGATTGCCACGGATGAGCTTCAGCGCTACCGGCTGTACGAATCCGGTGGCGCGGAGGCGGCGTGGAAGGAGGTGACCGGGTCGCACGCGTACCTGCTGGGCGATTTCCTCAAAGGCGTTGAGCGCGGCGAGGGAGACGACTTCATAACGGCAACCATCGACGGCGCGGAGGTGGTGCTGTTTTCCCGGCAGTGGCACAGTTACGACGACGAGACAAAAACCATTGGGAGCGTGCTGCAGCTTTGGATGACCGACAACAAGCGCATGCACCCTGTGGGCCCGATCGCCACGGACCCGCTGCAGAGCCACGAGTTCAGCGCCCTGCTGTACGCAAAGGACGATAACAAGTTGTTTGCCGTGTACGAGAGAAGAGACAACACGTCGAGCGGCCTTATTTTTGCGCCCCTCACCGAGCAGCTGCAGCGGGTCAAGGATGTGCTGGGTGCTTGGAAGAAGGCGGACGCAAAAGTCGCAGCGCTTTGCGGCGCCGCCACGACGGCTGGGGAGCCTGCCCAGTCGGGGGCTGCCTGCAACCCTCCGGTGCCCACGGACGGGTTGGTTGGCTTTTTGTCCGACGCTGGGAATGCCACCCAATGGGCCGACGACTACCTTTGGATGAACGCCACGGTGAGGGAAGCGACGAAGATTGCCAACGGCTTTAACCTGACGGGGCCCGCGTCACGGATTGTGTGGCCGGTGGTTGAGCAGGCGGGGGCGCCGGCGTACAGCTTCGCTGGGCGTGGGCTCACCGTGGTGGCGACGGCGACGATCCGTCGCGCCCCCACGAGCGCCACCACGTTGCTGGGCGTGGGGGTGAGCGTGGGCCGGCACGTGCTGGAGCTGAGCCTGAGCTACGACGAGGGGAAGCGCTGGCGGACGGGCGGCAGGGGAGGCGCGAGTACGGCAGCTCTGCCGTGGATGGAGGGGGCGACGTACCAGGTGGCACTGACGGTCCGGGACGTCAGCGGCAGCGCCTACGTTGACGGCGAGATGGTGGGGTCGCTGGGGGGCAATTCCGTGCCTGCGTCGGGCCCCAGCAGCACGACAGACGCGGGCGATGGGGCGGTGACCGAAGAAATGCTGCTGCCGCTGCAGGGTGATTTGTCGTACGTTTTCTTTGGGGGCAACGAAGGCCGGTGCGGGGGGTGCGAGGGAACGAAGTGACGC